ACCCAGTTGACTACTTCATAAAATACTGCTATTGCATTGTCTCCCAAGGAGTAAAGAAAAATGACTTGGCAGCAGCCAGCCTGGTACACCTTCCTTTCTTTCTGGTGAACCCTCTTAGATATTCCTGTGGAGCATCTGACCTTTCCCTTGATACATACAGAAAAAGTTGTACGTGGTAGATAAGTTTTCTTGAGTTCCAATAGAGTAAGCGAATGGACAGTACTGCATGAGACTGCAGTCCATTACTGCAGGCTGGATGATTTTAAGTGAATGGCCCTGATTGTGATGATTACAGAAGGAAATGTGACTTCTAAAAAATGCTTTTAATGAGGGAAAAGGATGACTCACGTAATTCATTTTACTTTCAGTTAAACTGAGTTGCCCGTACTCTCTCAAATTGGGCCCCTGCCTGTCAGATCATTTATTTGCCAAATGGGCATGGTTTTCATGCAAGGTTGGTGGTTTTAAGCAGCAGTGTTTCCAGGAAGTAGGACACACATATTGGTAGAATCTCTAGGTTAGCTCCAAACTCCAGGAATCAAGCAAGAGAGGATTTTGCTAAACACAGTTATAGTTCTTGTTAGAACAACTACTTATAGGTAAAATGCACTTGTCAAAAATGGATGTACCAGACTTTTTTTTTTTTTTTTTTGGCTGAACCGGGGATTGAACTTAGGCCCTTGCGCTTGCCAGGGAAGCGCTTATTCCACTGAGCCATCTCCCCAGCCCGAAGACTTTTTTTCTTGATCCTGTGGGAACAATCATCTTTTTGAAAACATAAAACACAATCTTTAAGGAGCCTTGTGTATTGTCACTAAAATAATTTTTAAAAATCTTATTTCAAGAAGTTTTTGAAGGACTGGCTAAATAGCTTAGTGGATGAAAGTGTCTGCATGCAGACACAGAGGCCAGGGGTTTGATCCCTGGGCCTGCTGTGCCAGTCCTGCCCTGGGGCACAATTGAGACCGGATGTGGTGGCGTGCACCTGTAATCCTAGCAGTTGAGAGGCTGTAAACAAAGTCCAAACTGCAGTATATAGCAAGATCCTATCTCAAAAAAAAAAAAAAAAAAGTAAAACCTATTTGAAACAGTTTTTAGGACTGAACATTGTAGGAGCAAATAGCATTGTACTTACACATTTCATAAATGCCTGGAGCCAGTCACCACTTGTCAGCTGTGTATGTGACACTGAGTGATGCTGGCTTACTTCTCTTAAGAACAAGGTATTTCTTATCAGATGGCAGGAACTGGACATAGGCCTGTTCAAGATGGCCATTTCAGGCACCTGTGGGTCATGCTGATGAAATAAACCATTGGGAGAGTAAAGAAGGAAGAACACAGCTGTGAGGACCTCAGAGTTGGGATACACGTCTCGGATCTTGTCCAGGTGGATTCAGTCCACTTGTTGTTTTTTTGTTTTTGTTTTTAGGTTCTTTATTTGGAGTTGGCCAGCACTTTTGTAACTGCTGGCATTTGTAATTTAGCACCTTCTAGCATTTTCTAAGATAGTGCTTTGCAAACCTTTTCACTACAGTAAGACGTACTTTTTCCACAACCATCTAATACGTGTATCTGGTTATTTTTTTCCAAAAATGCAAACTAGAGTCAGGAAGTTATTACAGCTCAGGGGGAGACCACTTGCCTAGCATGTATGAGGTTTTGGGTTACATTTCCACCTCTTAAAAGTTGGATGAGCCAGTATTTTTCAAAACCTGTAATAGAAAAAGTACCTAGAACCCATGGTTGCTTATGTATTGATATTTTCATTTCTTCTCATTGCTTCCTTCTCCTCTAGATCTAGCAGCCCTGAATGCTTTGATGTTGCTGAGCTGCAATTTCTGCTGTAAAGCTTGGGGTGTATTTACAGGCTTATCAACTTTGTGTGGCCTCATTTACTAAGTTTCTTCTATCTGATGCCCTGGATTCTCTTGAGAGCCCAGTTTTCATACTAAAATAATAAATTACTTAAAATTAATTTTTGAAATCATTACCAGCTCTATTTGTGGAAAATAACTTAAATGGGACATCAGCTGTTGTTGCAAACACAGCTGAGTTGTTGCAACTTAATGTTTATAAACTACTAAAATGGATCACAAGAAGTACAAATATGTTTTCATGTACACAGAAGTTTCTTAAATCATACATTGTTTATTAAAAGTATACAAAATACTCTGGTATTAAATTACAAAAGTTATAAGGACAATTTAAAAAGTATGAATTTAATGTTAGAATTATTCATCTAGTTTGACGAAGATGAGCTTACTCAAGCTTGTCAGTGTGTTCCTCCAGATTTTCCACCATAAGCAAGCCAAAGCGATTGCCCCCCTCATGCCAGCAGCCAGCGTCTGAGGGGGTTCCCCCACCACAGGAACCCTTTGACCAGTGGGTACCCTTTTTCTTTTGCCTTCTTTTTTTCGTATTTGATTTACCTTTCGGTAGGAATAATTCAGCTGGGGCACATGATCTTGTGACGTTAAACATCCGTTCATAAAGTTGCATGGCCTCAGGACACACACCCAGGAGATCTTCTACAGAAGTCGATGCTAGCAGTCGTTGGCATAATCCATGTACCAGGCTTCCACTGTACAGTCTATTCAGGGGGAGAAAAGTGCGATTTAAAGCAGTGCAGCAGGAAAACAGTGGTTAATGTGGCTTCAATCAATTTATCTGAACATTGAGAGTTCTTATTCCCATAAAATCATTACAGTAATCTGTTCCTTACTGAAAGGACTTGAGGAATTAATACAATTACTTCTTGCCTAATAATTAAATTATCTAATTAAGTGATGATGTGTACTGGCTTTACAACTGGCATCAAGTTGAGTAGGCCTCTTTAGTTCTTCAAAAAAAAGAAATTTAAGATGACCCTGATAAACCAAACAGGCATATGTATACATGCTAGAAACCTCTGCTGGCTTTTTTTTTTTTTTTTTTTTTTGGCGGAACTGAGGATTGAACTCAGGCCCTTGCACTTGCCAGGGAAGTGCTTATTCTACTGAGCCGTCTCCCTGGCCCCATTTACTGGCATTATTTGCAAGGCATTCACTTATGCTAAAAACAAACAGAAGATGAGATTAACTAGAATACCTAAATTTAACACATATGATTTATAGCAGCGCTGATCATCTCATGCCTTAGCAGTCGGCGCCAACACATCCTTTCATCAGGGTAAATCAGTGATTACGAAGCCTTGACTTCCCTTAGGTACAAGAACCCCGTCCTACTGAAAGTGCTATTAATAGGAATATCCGGGCTTGCTTTTCCTGTTCTTTTGGGAAAGGAGCTGTAGTAGCTGTGGAGCACCTAGTCAAGAATAAGCTAAATTGGGGCCGGGGAGATGGCTCAGTGGAATGAGCGCTTGCCTGGCAAGCCCAAGGCCCTGAGTTCAATCCCCGGTTCTGAAAAAAAAAAAAAAAAAAGAATAAGCTAAATTATTAAAGGAAAGGAATAAAGAATTCATAGGTCAAAGGCCAACTAACCCCACCCTCTTGTTTGGCAGAGGCTTGGAATTCAGATACCAGTCCCAGAGATGTATTAGCAACTTTGTTCCTTGAACGAGTCACACCATGACACTGCATGATGCCTTCCTATATTGCCATTTATTCTAAGAACTCTGGGGCCCAGGGGAACAGTAACAGTCAAGTCTGCCCTCATATTTGGAGATAAAGCACACAAGCAGTCTGAAATACTTCATGTTGTTACCTTACCATCTTCTGTCGTCCCTCTGGCATCTCCTGGATGGAGAGCTTCCTAAATGCCCGATCCCCTGATCCTATGCTGTGGCCATGGGCCCATGTTGCTCTCATTTCCCTTACCCATCGTATACTCCAGGGCCAGGCGTAATACTCCCTGGTATAGAGGTTCAACTTCTTCACATTTATGTGACAAGATAAAATGCTGATGTCTAATAGTCGTTTCATTAGAATAAAAGTTCCATGAGTGCATTTTGTTATTGTGCATTTTAATGCAGAGTAGGCATTTGGTAAATACTCAAGTGAGCAACATGCTAAGTAGTAAGAAATTAATAATAATACAACAGAGTGATAAAACTAGGGTACTTTAAAGAGTACTTCAGTAGGGTGATCAGAAAAGGCCTCCATAAAGTAATATCTCAAAAAAACTCACAAAGTGAAGAAATACATTAGAGCCTACCAACAACTTTGCCCTTTCCTTTTTCTAAAAGCTGGAATTTATCATGGAGATATTCCTCGGGAGTACAGAAGTAATATTTTTCCTGTTTTCAGCTCTTCAGATGTAACAGTGATCCAAGATCAATTTCATAGTTGTTTTAAAATAATGTCTTTGTTTAAATATGAATAAGACTTTGCTTTGTGCTCTCACCTGAACTAAAGTTTCCCATGGTGCTTACCGAGTTAGGTCTGGCTCTGGCAGAGGAGTGGACAGCAGCTGATTGAGATACAGCCCCATCTGGAGACAGCACTGCCACTGACAGAAGACGTGAGCTGTGTCTAAATCCAAGCTAGGACCTGGGCGCGGCGGCTCCTTCACCCGCTGGAACTCTTCATACAACTTCTTAGCACCACCGCCCTGCAGATCTTTATACAGACAAAGAAACAGTCCAAGGGCAGCATTTCCCAAAACACGGCACCCTGCCATTTCCTCCCACGTAAGACTTGCAATCCCACAAGGAAGAAAATTAGTCTAGAACTTGTTTTTTCTTGTGGTTTCATAAATACCTTGCTGTGAAGGTTGAAATAGTTATACTGAAGTATCTTCATAATGGTAACCTAGTTTTAATCAACCCCCAATTTTTTATTTTTTTTCCTTGAAATAAGATCTTTTCCACTGCTGCACTACCTGACCGTAAATGTATGCATGTGAATTCTCTAAAATGTGTCTGTGAAAAATACAGATGACTATTAAACATTCTTCTTTTTACTGGTCTCTATCACACAGTGCTCCATATTGTAGTGCACTTGTTTTAAAGAAATAACTTGGGTGTTTTGGGTGCAATTTTAACCTGCTTAATGGGAGAAAGACCAAAATATGACTCCATCTCAGAATCATGACAACCAGTTTTTCCTAGAAAATAAAGGGCAAGAAACAACCAACGTAGGACGTAGAATGCTCTGTATATTCAGCTGTGCATTTCTGCAGGCTTAAGCCCTGACACACAAAATAACACCCAGACCAACTTAGAATTAATAAAAAGGAGTCCCACCTTTCACCAGCTAGCGAGCAGTGAGGCACTGAGCTTGCCGGGGTGCAGATTCCATATTTCCTAAAAAAAAAGAAATAACCCTTGACATGCCCCTTCTGCAGGACTCAGGTACAACTTGCTACCTCATGCTCTGAGTTTCCTGTGCTGAACGTATTACTCAGGGAGGACATCCCAGCAGTCCTTCACCAGCAGTTCCTCTGAAGGCCGCTGTCACATGCAAGCCTTAATACTTGGGGTGTTTGGGGGTCTGTGCTATTTTGCTCATTCTTTTTAAAAAAATAAAAAGGAAACTATACCCCAACACTGCCTCCCCAAAACGTAAATATAACTGTGATGTTCAGTGCAATACCCTGTATGCCTGTGTGGCGGCTGAGCACCTGAAACATAATTAGCGTGACTGAGAAGCTGATGTTTTAGCTGGATTGTAATTTGAAGTAACTACAGGTTGCTACCAGCTACCACATAACACTGTTGTAGAGCACGATGATTTCATAAGGTTTAGATGATATTAAAACATTTCTAAGGCCGGCCAAGTAGCTCAGTGGATTAAAGTGCCTGCAAGCAGGCACAGGGGCTGGGGGTTATCCCTGGGCCTGCCATGCTGCCCCCCCCCCCGCCCCGGGCTTGCTGAGAGGCAACTGAAACTAGACGTGGTGGCGCACACCTATAATCCCAGCTCTTGGGAGGCTATAAACAGATCACTACAAGTCCGATCTAGTAGTGAGACCCTGAACACCCTGTAGACCCTTCCCTAAAATTAAAAAAAAAAAAAAAAAAATCATAACATTATGCTATTAATGCTTTAAAGAACTGTTGGAATGCTGCAACATTTACTTCATCTGATATAAATGCAGATGAAATTGCCTTAATGTATTCCTGCAGTAGAAAGATTTTTTTCTTACATACTAATCGAAACAGTCCAAAAATAGTACTAAAAAAAAAAAAAAAAAAAAAAAAAACCCACAAGCATGAGTAAGTTTATTGTGGCTGCAGGTAACCAGAAGTTGCGTTTCTGGGCAACTTTAAATGCTTTCTGTGGTGATGTCGCTAAGGTATGAACGATGGGGTAGAGAGCATAGAATATTCAATGCAACTGGCAGGACACCTTGTCATGCCTCGAATGTTAAAGTCTCAGGTGCCACAGAACAAACAGGTTGGGCAGCACCAGCACACAGCAGCTGTTCACTTGAGTCTAGCACACACAAATATTAAAAAAAATTACTAATGAGTGAAAAACAGTCATTTCTCATGTAAGCAATGGGGGTAAGGAGATACTTTTATTAGTGTGAGCTCTTGAAGACACATAGTTTGTAAGCAACATGCACGAAGTCTTTGAGTTTCTAAAACACCTACCAGAGCTGTTGCTGATGGCGTGCAAGGGGCCCATCAGCATCCCCAGCAGCAGGGCCTGTAGATGCCACAGCTTGGCCTTGGTCTCCGTGTGCTGCAACCAGTAGCAGCTGACAGCAACGGGCAACTTCAGAGCAAGCGGGATCGGGTCCAGGACAGTCTGTCTCACCTTCAGAGTTTCTAACAGAAGCGTCTGCCGCCTAGCCAAGGATAGCTGAAATACCAGACATCCTGCAAATTACTTTAGGAGATTGATTGATTGATTGATTGATTGATTGATTGATTTTTGTGGCATGAAGATACTAGTCAGTTGTGAAACTTACCTTTCTCCGAAAAAGAAAGAAAATCAGCCGTACCTAGTGTTTAGAATCATAATAAGGTGCAGTGAATACAGTTGGTTGAAAGCGGGCATGGTTTGCTGTCACTGCAGAGCCCTTCTGCGATTATCCTGCGTAGGCAGGCGGGCAGTATGCTAAGTATACGTATCACTTGGGAGCCAGTCAGAAGTTGAGTCCTCAGTTCCTACCCCCAAGTTTTGGTTCAGTGATCTGAGGGGAGCCCAAGTATTCTTAAGTATTCTACTCGTACTTGCTAGTGAGTGTTAGGCACCTACTTTCTCTGTAGCGCCATCAGAGGTCACCCTCAGAAGATAAACTTCCCCTATGTGTCCTGTGGCTGTGGGTCATATGTTGAGTCTGACTCTTCCTGCTAAATGTTTTTTAATGGCTTTGCTCTCCTACAGAGGGACTGTGACAGGCTGGCTACAAGTCAAACAGGGACATACTCAAGGCAGATGGGAACATTTTAAGGAGTACTTGCACTGTGCTTGAGTAACTCATCACACGGAAACATTTTATTTAGAATGTATTTTGAGTAAAAGCTCAGAAGGAAACAGCTCCAAAGGGCTGTGAGCTTCTTTATGAAATAATTTTACTTTAATGACTCTCAAGACTTTGAGAACTTTATAGACCTCCTAAGTCACTCTTACACTCAGACTATTAAATGGGTACCTTCAAGGGAACTTTATAATCTGACTTTAGGAAACAGTATTCCTGGTCCCTGCCTGTGGCCTGAAAAAGTTTTCTTCTTTCTAGGAGGAGGAAAGAGTCTGGTACATTTCTTAGCACCTGACAGTGGAAACAGTGGTAGACAGCTCAGAATAGAAATGTTAACTTGAAATCAAACACATAATTGACAAAAATTTCCTCATCAATACATGAGGCCTCTGAATAGCACAACTATTTTAAATAGTGTTTCTGGTAACAATATTGTGACAATATTTTTAAAATTAGAAATATGCAAAGTGATTTACAACGTAGTAACTATTGGAAGTAGCATTAACTACTTAAAAATTAAATTCCCTAAACTATTGAAAGCCCCAAACATTCTTTTCTGTCATATAACACTTAAATTACTGAATTCTCAAGTTATAACTTTATGACAAAGCAAAGTGTAAACTTAAACTTCAAAGACGTTTTGCTCCCCACGAACTCTCTGACCAGTGGGCAAGTTTCTAAGCTTTTCTCCAGTCTGGCTGTGAAATGGGCAGAAGAAGAAATGGCATGAGAAGTTTCACAGAACTCACCAGTCCTCAGGGGATCTAGTCTGCTTACACCATTAGAGCTGCTTAGGTTTGTTCACATGAAAAATCCTTTTTCCTGGGGAATAAAAGTCCTGCAAAGAGGCTGGCTTGGAGCAGAAGTGCTCGGAAGAGCCTGCTCCTGGGTACCGCCTCACACACCCAGAACGACCAGGCTCCATGTCTCCTTGGAATTAAACTTGTACTTGTGACCTTGAGGGTTGTTTTCTCCACTGCAGCTAATAACCAGAATGACAGTATGCGATGCAGTTTGTGGGACTTAAGTTCTATCTCGAGCTGGCACAAAAGCAGATGAAATACTATTTTAAAAACAAACAAATAGCTGTGATTACAAAGTTTCTACACCTTTCTTGTACTGCATTTGTGTTTGCAATCTCCTTTGCACTTAGGTCCTGTTTACAGTGATTGTGCGCTCAGCACTAAGCTACATGCAGCATTGGTTCAGTGATGGTGAACCTCTTGGGGCTAAGTGCCAAGCTGCAAACCCACTTATTTACTGCAAAGTGCCAACACTGCAATTAAACCCAAATACCATGGTTCTAGTTTAGGAAACAACCCTACATTAATATTTCTAGTTTCACAAACACAATTTATGCATGTCAAAGCTTCACTACCGCTGGATAATCCATGCCAAGGGAAAGCCAAATGAAAAGAGGGACTAACATTACACTCTACTTTGAAGACAGGTAAATGATGAGAACCTTGTGTCATCTCCACTTAGGAATACAATCAGCATCCTACGCTTCCTGGATTCACTCACAGTCTCTTTTTTCATAGCTATACACAAGGAATCAATTCTGGGTAGATTACAGACTTAAACGTGCAAGCCAAGAAACCATTTTCATGATCTTGGAATGGGCAATAATTTCTTCAGTAGTCACACGTGGTAACTATAACAATTTAAAGAATGGTTGCACTGATGGTAGAGCACCACTGGTGTGCATGGATGCGGAAGGTAGGGGAGACTCCCACAGCAGTGGAAGGTCTGACTCTCAGCCACTGCGAGGCTGTGCTGCTGTTTCACACTCCTCAGCAGACCAGCACCCAGAGTGATCTGTGGGTCTGGATGCTTAAGAACACAGTGGGCACTGAGGTTTTTTATAAATTTATCTGTGTTTAAATTCCAAGTTTAATTCTATTATCAGGATAAGCAGTTTCATACTTGTCATCTTAATATATGTATATAATATTATAAAAAAGGGAAAGGGAATTCTGGGATCCGTGAGGACTTTTTCTCCTTGAAATGGAGATTCATCTGAGTGTTAGGTTTGTGCAATACTGACTCAGGTTAAGTCATGCTTTTTGGTGTCAAAGTAAGTCACCAGGATGCCACAAACCTAAACCTAAAGAATTCCTCAGTAATAAAAAATGTTACACCTAAACTTTAATTCTAATCTTAAATCCAGTGTCTACAAAGTTAATTCTGTATAAAGTGCCTATGTGTACACTTTATTTTTGCACTTCAGAGGTTTTGCTTTTTCCATTTGTTTAGTCAATGCTATTCTACTGATTGCTGGTATAAAAAGTGGCAGTAACTACAAGACTACTGACATAAATGGAAATGGCAGATTTAGAGCTAAGTGCTAGGTTTGGGTCTTAACACTGACACTGGCAAAAAACAAAACAAAAACAACAACTGACGTAGTTCACTTGAATACTATTTTCTGATTTAAATGAAGACAGGACAGCAACCAATCTGGAGTTGTTAGATTATGAGAAAGAATATGAAAGCACCTTATAATCTATAAAGCAATTTATAAAAATTTCATTAGTATTATAAATCCTCACCTTGGTCAGTTTGCTCAAGTCAGAATAATCCTTGGGCAGTTCTATTGCATCAACAGTGGATGTTTTAATATTCTTATTAATCCTTTCCACTTCACTGAAAGCTAGAGACTGAGATGGCAATGCCCTCGGGGACACGTTTTCTGGATGTGATGACACATTCAAAAGAAGCCCATAAATAATCTGCCGGATGGGTCGAGAGATGCTGTGGGCATTTGGGCGCTGCATGTTTTCTACTTGTGTGTGAAGAATGGTTCGTCTTAATACCAAAGCATCACTGACGAAAGGGGAGAGCTGGCCTTTGGCCAAAGCCACCACCACCCACTCCGGTAAACCCAGATTCATGGCTTCTGGACAGACGAAGGCACCATCCTGGAAGAAGTCCTGCAGCTTCACCTGCGACTGCTGGTATTCCTCCATGCAGGAGCAGAGAAGCTCCCTAACATTTTCTCGATCCTTTTTTGGCAGATGTTTCAGAACATGATCTAGTGCTTCAGTAAGGTCAGCAAAATGAGACAACCAGCTCAGAATTCCCAGAACTCGGTGATGTCTCCTCCCCTTAGAACTACTACCTCTAAGAGGAAGGCATACTTTACTTAAGAATGTCTCCACAATAGGCAGATTAATATGATCATTTCCACACAGCACTGCAAAGAGAGGTAGCAGGGTTTTGTTCATGTTGTTGAAGTGACGGCAAAAGGCATCAAGAGAAAAACATTTGGCAGAAATATAGCAGGATTTTGTCCCTTTAATGGTGTTCGTATTTCTCCACTGAAAGCTATTCAATGGGCAAAACCCAGTTTTCAAATCAAAAATGCAAAAGTCACTATCAGATGATAACACAGGGCAATTCCAGTGATTGGCAAGTGTCATAATGTCCTGATCAGCTTCTGAAAAGCACTGCACAAAACATACCTGCAGTTTGGTCAACATCTGTATGAACACTTCCCGGATGAGCAAGGGACACACGTACCCACCCCCACCCACGGAAAGGGAATGGGCCATCTGGATCTTCTCTCTCGCTCGATCCTTTAGAGTTGTAAGCTTTTTGTCAGAAATGTCACATCCTCCATCTAGTATGACATATGGACATATATTACAAGCGGACAGCGACTCAAAGAATTTCTGCACAACTTCTGCAAAAGAATCATAGTCTCCTCCATAACGGAGCCCCAAGTTTGAATTGAAGCAAAGTCGGTGGAAAAGAGCGTAGCCATCTATGATAATTTTTGTGTCCCGCATCTTCAAATCAATGAAGAACTCATTACCATGATCTTCCACAAAGCTCATCAGTCCGCGGATACCCATGACAAGCTGAAGAACTGCCTGTAGAAGAAAACAGAACACATTTCCATTGATGCTAGCTATAGAGGCCCCAGTTTACTGCTTCTAGCACAATAACTAGCAACTGTTACGCTCTTTATGTGTCCACCTCTCTGATCCTTGCTTATATCCTCAGGCAACAATAGCTGAGGGCTTTTTAAATTCTCTTGTTTTCCCGCTGGTAAACAGTGCAAACACGATGGCTTCATGGGTTTTGATCTTTGGATAGGAATGAGGCCCCTGCTGATTCTAAAGGGAATTCAGTTAAAATGCAATAAGGAACACCAGGTACAGAAGTTCTGTGAATTATGATACTCAGATAATATTGTAGTCACTACTTGGGGGGAGGGGCAAAGTGAAAAGTCCAAACTATAAAAATATAGCTTATCCTTATCAATCTCAAACATCCAAAAGCACCGGGTTTTGGTTAAAGTATGGAGAAGTTCTGATACAGACTCAAGCTTTCTTTTTTAATTGCTGGAGTCTGGGAACTTGTTTTAGGTCTTGAAGTTCTGCCTGCCTTTTTAATTGCTGTAATCTATAGGACCCCAACAACCCATTTTCACCCGAGCTGGGGACCTCTCCATCTTATCTTTGGTTGCCTGGCCCAGTTACTCCTCTCCATGTGGGTAGTAACTCATACTACTCATTCTTCTTGAACTTCAGCCTTTAATGCGGCACAACTACAGAATCCTGTCTTTATTTAAACTGTGACATTCTGTCAACAATGGCTGTTTGCACTTCCATTTTTTTGAGACTCACCTCCACCAAGTTCCCGCCCTGGCCACATCTCAGCCTGTGCAGTGCTGAGTTATTTACAAGTCTGTCGCGTAAAACTTCTAGGAACATAGACCGAGTTGACTTATCCTAACGCAACTACGGGATCCGATCATACACAGGATAGCAACAAATGCGAGCTGGATAGGGCACAGGCGTGCAAAATGTCTGATCTTCATTTCTCGAATTCAGCTCTCCCAGATCGGGCTCACAACTGTCGCCTTGACCGGCTGTATAGCCCACCTGCTAGGTCTTCCCAGAGGCCCAACCACTCCACCCGAAGCCCACAGGGGCCCAGAGCGGTGCACCCATCCAGCACATGAACACTTACTCTAAAGTGGGAACCGGAAGTCGCCGGGTCTGCTGTCACCTGGAAGCGGGTCTCAGTGACGTCACGGGCGGGTGGCGGCCGACTATGCGGGACAAGGTGCTCGCGGGATTGCAGGCGCGGGACTGCTAAAACAAAACAAAACAAAAAACCAAAAAACAAAGGCTGCAGCTGCTTCCCTCCTTTTAGTAAAGCTGGGCTGGTGCGGCCCGCCTCTCTTTTCCCCGCCTGCTCGGTGCAGGGACACTTCCGTCTGAATGACGGGCTTGCCCCGACTTCCCAAGATGCCCCGCGCCGTTTCCTTGGCGACAGTACCAAACATCTTTAGTCTTCGTTGTCCGGAACTCCGCGGGCGCCGCATCTCCTAGCTGCGGCCGGTCAGGGTTTTATGGTCCTGAGTCAGGCCCGCCGGCGCCGCGGGTCCTCCACCTGCGGTGGGGAAAGGTAATGCGCAGGGCGTTGCTCAGAGGTGCTGGGCCCCCCTCTCCGCGCCGCGAAGGTGGTGGTTTCCAGCCGCCCCGCCGGGTCCCGGTCGTCTAGGCCTCCCAGCTCACGCCCTTCTCACTTCCTTGGACTCCCTCGGATAATAACCATGGCCGGTGCCCCACGGATGCATATGGCCCCGTTTTTCGAAAATGTCCATTTTTCAAACGTTGAATAGAAAAATTGTTCACCTTGAGGTTAAGATTTACGTTTACTTTTAAGGTAATATTCCTCTTTTAGCAGAACCTACAGTGACATCGCTTCATCTGGTTTGTCACCGCCAAAGAACCTTGGTTTTTGACTTGGATAAACTTTCTTTTGTCTTTTGCCCCAATGAGAGAGATTGATTTCTCTTTCCATGTATAGTGGGATTTCTCCCCATGCCCCATCCAAATTCCCATTCAGCTTTCTTTAACTTCTCCACTTTTTTTCTCCTTGGGTAGCATTTGTGTTTGTTGGACACTATTTGCCCTTTCAATGTTTGTTGAAGCTATGAAATATATGCAAGAGTTTAAAAAATAAACTCTTGCATATATTTCATAGCTTCTCCAGGTAGTGCAGTTTTACCTATCACATTTATTATATACAGCTGACATTAAAATACATTTTTAGGTTTGAATTGTATTACTTCCACTTAGGAATATTACTTTGTATCCAGGTGGTATAATAAAGTCATAAAGTAGATCAGAATTTGCTTAGGATGCAAAGAAAATTTGCTCTGAATCCGTACTCCTCTTCACATCTGTTTTAATACATGCAAAAATTGTGATTTAAGGTCTACAGAAGGTCCATAGGTCAGGAGATGTCCTCAAAGTGGATGGTAGGGTTGCGCTGTTTTTTCCACAACGTTGTAGATCATGAGGTCTCCCACATGCTCTTCACCGCGGAGCGAACAGAACCCGACGAATGCCTGGTTCTCCTGAAGGGAGATGCAAGAGCTCAGAGCCCAGCACGTGATAATGGTCTCGTATTTGAGTTTTTCCTAAATTGCTGAGGTGTATAAGTTTCAAACAGATTATTGATTATGTAATAGACACACATCTCAGAAGTTTGTGAAAATCTGGCTGTCAATCGGTTTTGATAAATTTGGGTGAATAAAGGAAGGCTGTCTTCCTATGAAAGTCTGCTTGTAGAATTTGCAGTATTTCCATTATTTTTCCCCTTCTCAGGTCATTAGAGCTGACCAATGTGGCGCCATTTAGTCTTCTAATCCAGGTGCAGGACTCCCTGTGAAAGACTTAGGCCTTTTGTTAGGAATCTTTTCCCACTCATTAGAACTGACCTGTGGACCTTTCACATTTTAGGCATTGACCAATACTTCTCGGATGAATTTGACCATGGATACTTGAATGTTAGGTTTCCATAAATGAATAGAGCAGTTCAATGCTGTTTGGAGCAATGCTGAAATTCCAAGAGGCTGCTAAGTGTGGGACAGGATCAACAGCCATTTCTACTTCTCCACGGGCCTTGATTGCAAGAAGATATGAACTTCAGCAGAAACTTGGCAGTGGAAGTTTTGGAACTGTCTACCTGGTTTCAGATAAGAAAGCCAGACAAGGAGAGGAATTGTAAGTAATCATACTTCATTTAAATCTCAAGTGAGCTGCCCTGTGTGTGCAGCTCTTTGCAGAGCAAGAACACAGTAATGTATGTCTTACTCTTTGCACTCAAGCAAAAAAGTAGTAAAGACAGAAGAGTTCTTTCCTTGGTCCTTTAGATAAAGTCCCCCCTTGGAGGTTGAACTGCAGAACTCACATGCATTAGGTAGGTGCTCTATCACTGAGCAACAATCACCACCCCCAGTCCCAGATAAGGTTTTTAATGGCATTTCAACTATGAATAAGTTGTCTAAATCACCTAGAGATGGGAAGTGGAGTAGCATGAAGGAAAGATGTTATGCACAGCACAATTTAAATTACAACACTGCTACCACTTGCCTTGAGTGAAAATTCTTCAGTGAGAAGTGGATTGTTCACAATGGCTATATCTTTTAGAAATGTTACAAAATACAAATAAGCAACAACTGGCATTTGAGGTGAGTAGGGTACACAGAAGGAGATGTGTTCATTTGCCTCATCCCAAGACTCTGGGCAATGTCAGAGCCACACTGAGAGTGACCAGAGTGGAATTCACAGTGCACCCTACATCAGCATTAGGCTGAAACACAGGCTGTGTCTTGCTTGCAGGTCAGGAACTGTTGCCCCACCCAGACCTGAGATGCAGACACAAGAGTGGACACACTTGCCTAGCGGGAGTGAATCAGGCTCATCTTCTTTGTCGCAGGTGATGCTGGCAAAAGTGTTTCAAACCAAATAGTCATCTCTGTCCCGAGGTAGAGGCCCTTTAGGAGGCATTTTGTGGTACCCCTATGGGCTGTGCTAATGCTTTCTACCTATCCCTCCAGACTAGAGAAGAAAAGTCCCAGGAGGAAATCCTTACACCACAGATAGTGAAAATGCCTGATAGTTATTATGGGCTGACTCATATTCTCTTAAAATCCCATGTTGAAGAGTTAAGCCCCTTGAACCTCAGAATGGATTATATTTGGAGATAGGGACTTGAAACAGGTGATTAAGTTAAAACATGACCCTAAGGGGAGCCCTAATCCAAACTGACTGGTGTCCTTATAAGAAATAATTTAGGCGGGGGATGGTTGCACACATCTTAATTGCACCTAGGACAGGAGGATCACTGTGAGTTAGAGGCCAGCCTTGGCTACATAGTGAGTTCAAGGCAAATTACATAGGGGGACCCTGTCTCAAAAGGTGAGGAAGAGGAGAAGGAGGGAGAAGAGGAATAAGAGGAAGAGGAAGAAGAAAAGAAGAAGGAGAAGAAGAAGAAAAGCAATGGCTGGGGAGATAGCTTGGTGGTCTAAGAGAAGGAGAGAAGGAGGAGGAAGAAGAGGAGGAGGAGGAAGAGGAGGAGCAGGAGGAGCAGGAGGAGGAAAGGAGGAGGAGGAGGAGAAAAGAAGAAGAAGAAGAAGAAGAAGAAGAAGAAGAAGAAGAAGAAGAAGAAGAAGAAGAAGGAGAAGGAGAAGGAGAAGGAGAAGGAGAAGGAGAAGGAGAAGGAGAAGGAGAAGGAGAAGGAGAAGAAGAAGAAGAAGAAGAAGAAGAAGAAGAAGAAGAAGAAGAAGAAGAAGAAGAAGAAGAAGAAGAAGAAGAAGAGAAGCAG